GCCGCTCCAGACCTCTCACTGGCCCGAGGCTCCCGCTGCCCCTGCGCCTCACCCCTACTTCTTCAAGAGAATAAAAGCCATCAGCTAATCGAGCAACTTAACTGAAAGGCATCTGGAAACGATGTAGCCCAATCCACGGCAAACACAGGGCGCTGGACCGGAGGAACCCGCCACTCTCCACACACTTCGCTCTGACGATGGGCCTCCTTTCAAACACTTTCCTCTCTGCTGCAGCCCAGGGAGGCAAACTCCACGCAGTCGGGATTTCCTGGCACTCTGGCTAAAGCCCCAAAGAGGAGTCAAGTAAGGGTCGTGTGGGGGCTGGGGCCGCGTGGGGACCGGGCACCTGGGGCAGCAGCACGAGGGGCGGGCATCCCTTGACTGGTTCATCTCAAAGACGGCTCCTTCGCTTCGACTCAGATTCACTGAAGCCAAAGGGCAGTGAACGCCCCTTCCTCTTCCCCAGCCGAGAATTTTTAAGCGTTTCAAATGCCATGTCGATATCTGTTAGGTTGTGCAAATATCCCCAGGCAGGAATCAACTAGTTACACCGATCAAGACACTATGGAATCTCTGGTGCAAAACTTTTGGCATTTGCTGGGACTGGATGAAAATAAGATCTGCAAACGGTCTCCATTCTCCGTTGCGATGATGTACCGCATCGGCGTTACTCACAGTAATCACGGCTAAGGGCTCGCAGGATTTACGGGGCTGCAGAAACAGAGTCTACACACCACAGAAGACCAAAAAGGCCCGTTTGGTAGACATGGGGATACCCTGGAGCCAGAAAGGACAGATGACACCCTTAGGCAGAATCAGGATTCAAAATAAACAAGAGTCCAAGCTGGCATTTAATACGGAAAAATATAATGTCTATTTTTCCAGACCCAAAAGCTCAACTGCCCGAGTGGACCCTGGAGGTAACCCCTCCTCCACACATGCCAAACGCAAACCCAATGCTTGGAAGCCCACCCTCACACGGGGAAGAGGCAGCAGCCACACTTTCCCAAAACCTGGAGCAGAAAGGAGTCAGAAGATTCCCTCTGCATCCGGGCTCCCTGCCAGGCAGGAGGGGCTGTTCCCTACGGTGGAGCAGCCATCGTCCCAGCCTCAGAGACAAACCAGAACAGATGGCTCCTTAGAGCCGCGCCAGGCTGGTTTCTCCAAACCTGCCCACGTGCCCTCCGGGTGATAAAACGCTCTGGCCTCTGCGCCCCCACGGTGGAATGGATGCTCCCGGATTCAGAAGCCCAAGAGGTTATGAATGCGAAATCTGGACAAATACGCAGTTCAAATCCTCCAACAGGTGTGGCATGTCCATGTCCTAATGCCCGGAACCCGTGACTGTTCCTTATGCGGCCAAAGAAAGGGCGGAGGGGTCTCTGTAGATGTAATTACGTTAAGGGTCTTGAAATAGGAAGACTATCCTGTGTTATCCGGGGAGCCCTAAATGTGGTCACACGTAGCCTTATAAGGGAAAGGCAGAGGGACCTTCACACACGCAGAGTGACGAGAAGATGGCGCCACAAGACATGCAGGTGTAGTGACGCAGCCACAACCCAAAGATGCAGGAGCCACAGAAGGTAGACAGGAAAGGAGGGGCTCTGGCCCAGGGCCTCCGGGGGAGCACGGCCCAGCCGTCACCTTGATGCTGGGCCCAGTGACACTGATTTCAGCCTTCTGAGCTCCAGGACTATGAGAGATGAAATTTCTCTTGTTTTAAACCATCAAGTTAGTGCTAATTTGTTATCACAGCCACAGGAAACTCATAGAAGGGTCAATATTAATTTTCCCTGCCTCCCTCCCTTAGAGAACACATGCACAAAAGGACCTACTATGTGCTGGGGACTGTGTGGGGTGCGGAAGACAAGGAAAACGGAGGCCTGGCCCTCAACGAGCTCCCCTCCCAGTGGCATCGCTAAGTGGGCCACAGACACACTGGGCCATGTGGTGTAACAAGGCCACTGAAAGCCCTGTGCCCCAAGGAGCGTGCCCCAGAAGGCTTCATGGGGCAGCTGACGCTGGCACTCAGCCCTGAAGGGTGAAGCCAATCCCAGGCGGAAGCAGGAAGCAGTCTCAGCCAAGGGCACAGGATAAGGAGTGACACTGGTGAGAGTGGGAGGCGTGCTGGGAACCAGTGAGCAGTCACGGTTGGGAGGCTAGGAGAGGAGGCCAGACTGTGCTGACACCTGAATGGTAGGCCTAGGACCTGCTCTGTTGAAAGGAGAGCCATCTTCACTGTGGGCCAACCCTGGGGGCAGTTCCAGCAAAGATGTTGCATGCACGCCAGCACTGCCCCGTGAAGCCGTACAGGAAACAGATTTGGAAAGCATGCTGGAAACAGGGTCCCAAAGGCATGACACTGGTCAAGGGACAGGGACTAAGGGCCATGCCTGCCGCACGCGGAGTCCCAGACCTAACACTGGGTTTGGCACTGAGTGAGTGCTGGGTGCATGAGAAGAGAAAGCAAGAAAAGAAGAAAGAAGGTAGGGGGGAGAGAGATGCACAGCAGGAGTGGAGGGAAAGAGAGATGAGGAGGACACGGGGCTCCCTGACAAAATGCTTGTGTCCCTCCATGCTGCGCACCCTCCCTCTGTGCCAGGGGAGAGTCTCAGGGGACTGTGCCCCAGGCCCACCCCGCGGTCGCCCCTCCAGCTGCTGCCAGCAGGTTTAGTTAGGGTGTGCCCTTGATCAGGCCTATGATTCCTGCTGCCGCCGTTAATAGGCAAGGAGCCACCATTGGTTCCCGCTGGGGGCTCTGCCAGGCCCACGGCCATTTGTATCTTGAGCCTGGTAATTAGGGCTGGGGGAATCACAGGGCCGGAGAGCAGGTGCTGTTTGGATAAACTTAAGAAAGTTCAGCTGCTTCTCTGAAGTTGGCCTCTTTGGGTTTTGCAGCGGGTAGCCAGCAGGGCCAGCTGGGAGGCCTCAGCTTCCCCTGCCGACATGCTCTGAGGACATGGGCTGCCGCCTCCCACTCTACACAGTACAGAGGAAGGAGCCCTGGATGGGAGCACAGAGGCCCAGGTTCGAGTCCTCCCAGCTGCAGGCTGCGCAGCCTTGGGCAATGCCCTAGCTGCTCTGAGTCTCAGCTTCCCCTTTGGGAAAATGGGGACACAATCCTTACACTTGGGACCCTGCCCCGCTCCCAGGGCTGTAACATCCAAGGGCTCCTGGGACGCGCTCTGCATTCTATGAAGTGCTACATGACACCCAGGGGCCATTCATGGATCGCCTGAGATCCGTCTCCTGAAGCCACCCTAAGTGTGACGGCTGGGAGAGGAGTGGGGCTGGGGAGGAGGGCACGCGTCCCCCCACCTCTGTTTGCCTTGAGCACACTACTTCCCCATGCTCTGCCCTGGGCCATCCCTGCAGCAGAAAAGGCAAGGGCTTTGCAGGTGTGGACCTGGCAGGCCTCCCCGCATTGGCACCGCCCAGGCCAAGAGCACACACGGAGGCAGTGTCCTGTGTGTCTCATATTTAAAAGTCATAAATCAAGCTAACAAACCATTAAATGAAATATGCTCTGTCTTCCTACCTCGTTAAATACATCTTCCTAATCACCTGGGAGGCCAGGAGCAAAGCTAGAATTCTGGGACTCCTTGGCGTCTGTGCCAGGACCTGGGTGCGTGGGGAAAGCCCAGCTGAGCTCTGATCTGCCCCACGCCCCTTCCACCCCAGCTCCACTCCTCATCCTGCAGGGCCTCCTGTCCAAGCCCTGTCCACCCCCCACAAAGAGCCAGTCCTCGGGCCCCAGGGTGCACAAGCCTGTGACGTGGGCTGGGGAAGAGGCTTGGGGCCGTTTACGCAGGACCCCAGGGTGGGCCAGAAGTGGGGTGTGGGCACCAGGTGGGCACATCCCCTTGGCCCTGTAGACTCTAGTCCATGGGGGGAGCGGGGGACAAGGGACATGGCCCTTGCAGGGCCAGAGCAGGACTACTATGGAGTGGCTGCGGAGCAGGGCCCTTTTGCCTGGGCCTAAGGGAGGGCCACACTGGGCCATGGCTCTAGTCGTAGCTCTGCCTCCTATTTGCTGGGTGACTTAGGCACATGCCAGCCCCTCTCTGGGCTCAATTTCTTTACCAAGAAAGTGGGTGCGTGATCCACCCGCCTACTTCTCAGAGCTGCTGTGAGGCTCCAAAGAGAAAGCCGGCCAGGTGGGGAGGGGTGAAATAACCAACCTGGCTTTTTCAAACACCCCAGAGAGTCAACAGCATGTGTTGGGGGGAGTGGGCCCACAGAGGCCCCAGCACTGAATGAATGGCGTTGCCCCTGTAAGTGACCTGAAACAAGAGACAACACGAACCCACAAAAGCAGTGTAACAGCATCCACTTGACCCACTTAACAGCATCCAACCGAGTCCTGATTTCCCTCAATTTTTTTTTGGCTTCTTTCCAAAATTGATGCTTTGGGTATCCCGGCTCTGCTCATGCCCTGAGTCCAGGGACAGCCAGCACCATGATGACGTGTGGTCTTGTCCCCACACCACCCTGCAATGGGAGGAGACGTGGTGGCCTCCTTTCCAAATATTTTAAAGGAAACTGACACAGCCAGCCGGGGAGATGAGGTTTCAATGGCCTCAGGGTGTTCAGTTTGGAATCTAGTGACAAACCCACAAGCTAACATCCTGTGGGTCCCGAGCACAGTGTCCTCAACCCCAGGGAGTAAGGCCACGGAGAGCAGCTTGGGCAGGCGCGGTGGGGAGGGGGCTTCCTTGTGTGCACGTCACACAGACTGGGGGAAGGAGGGAGGATGGGAGAGAGAGGACGGGGGAGGGCACCCCACGCCCTACTAGCTGGGTGACCTTCGGCCAGGTCCTGCCCCACTCTGTTCAGAGTCCCCTTGAGACCAGCGAGGGGCTGTCTGAGTGACTGCAGGCCTCTGCCTGATTTATCCAGTCCACTTCTCAGAAGCACAGGGGTCACCCGGGCTGTTTGGGGGGTGCCCGCTGGACCCCCGTCCGCCACCTGCTGAGGAGACGCTGACAGTGCAAACTCACCAGGCACCATCCCTGTCAGCGTCGGCGCTGAGTAGCTGCCCTGTCCGGCCGGGGGGACGTGCGGAGGGTACCCGGGGAGAGTCGTGCTCGCCAAGTCGCGGCCTGAGGAATCAAAGCAACAGATCACGGGGTGAGCATCTCCGCGGCCAGCCGCTCACGTCCACAGCTCCCCGGACACCTGCACATTTGTCACGCCTGGACGCTGAACGCCAGTGTGCTCCCAGCTCCCGCCTTTGCTCACCCGGACACACACACACACACACACACACACACACACCCCCCTCCAGCCACCCTGGCTCCACTCAGCAGGGACCAAGGACAGCTCAGCCGTGTCCCTAGGAAACTGGAGCTCCGGCCAGCTTGCCTGGCTCTCTCCTCCCCTCCACACCTTTGCTTCCGCTGCACCCTCTGCATGAAGCACCCTCTGCAGCAGCACAGGGCCCTGCCCCATGTGCCTTCAAAAGCCAGCTCAGATGCCTCCATCTTCCTCTTCTTGACAGCCCACTGCAAGGCTATGCCCGCCTCCGAGCCCTGCGCACCGGGTCTGGTCCTTCTGAATCCTTCCTCCTTTGGCTAGAGCTAGTCATCCACTCAGTGGAGGCGCAGGAGGTGCCTCCTGACACGAGATACTGTTCTGGGCACTGGGACATAGAGGGCAAGGCCTCGGCCCTCAGGGGCAGACGCTCTGGTGGGTGCACGTCCACCTCTGTGCAGGCTCCCAGCTCCTGGAGGGCAGGGGTGACACCTCATTCATTACCCCAAAGCCCCTGCCTCTGACACATGGCTTGGCACCTAGTAGGCTCATCGCGAATAAAGGTGCAGACGAATGGAGCATCCCATGTGCTGGGGTCCAGACGACGTGGAAGAAAACCCCAAGGTGGCAGAACTCTGTAAGGGAGATGCCCCTGAGATCTGTCCTCCTCTTAGGGAAGGAGCGGGGCTACAGGCCCCTCGAACACCGCCAGTCGTATGTGTGTACCAAGGTGCTCATGGACAAGACCGATAACCCAGACCGTGGGGGATCAGACTGTTCCAGGATTATCTGTTGTGCCCTGAGGACAAGGCCCCACCTCTGTGGGTGGAACTGGCAGTTGTTCCTGAAGGACAGGAACGTACCTGCTGTCAGCCATCCGGGACGTAGGTGGGAAGCGAGGTGGCTTTGGGATGAGGGATGGAAAGAAGAACCTCGACGTCTTCTGGATGGGGACACTGAGGACTGGGGAGGCCAGAAGAGGTCCAGGGGCAAGGGGGAGCCATTTCTGACCGCATGGCACCAGGCCCAGCCCCCGGAGCCTCCCCCAGGGCCCAGCAGGGGGGTACAGGTGGCACACGGGGAGACGACTCTGAGCTCCAGCTCCACCAGCCCAGGGAGATGGACCCCTCTGACCAACACCCCCCAAAGAATCCAAGCCAGCCACAGTGTGAGCCCATGAATGTTCCCGGATGAATGGACAGCCCTCCTAGTACCAGTCATCAAAGACTGTCCAGCCAGCGCCCAGAGGCTGCTTCATTTCACAAGGTCCTGCTTACTTTCCAGAACCTTACAGAAGACCAGGCAGCTGCCGGACAGGAGGCTCCCTCCCTCCCTCCACTCACTATCCCCCTGGCTTTGGACAGGGCATCCTGGCTATGACAAGCAAGGCTCGGGTCTCTTCACATGAGGCATTGCTCCAGGGCAGCAAATGCCCCAGGAGTTGCCTCTGGGAGTCCCTGATCCCCCATGTGACCTGCACATGACTCCCCATGAGCACTGAGATTAAACAGAAAACTGGAGTTGGCAGAACTGACCACACTTACAAGGTGATTTAAGGAGGTTTACCCCCACCCCCACCCTCTCATGCCTCTGCTCTCACCCTCCTCCAACCCAGCACCCACACCCCTCTACAGCAGCTCCTGTCTCCACGAAGTACAGGCTTCAGGATCAAGTCTTTGTACCCCAAGGTTGGAATGGCATAGGCCTACCAATATTTATCAGTGAAAGAAGTGGCCCTGCTGGAGAAGCAGGAGCTCCCTGGCATCCGTAAGAGCTCTCTCCGTCTGCGGTCAAGGATCGGTGCAGGAAGGGCTCCTGGAGCTTTTCCGGAAAGATCCTTGTAGCCATTTTGTAGATGGAAAAACTGAGACTCATGGTGAGTGGGGAGCAACTGGCTCAGGTCCCACAGGGAGCAGATGGCAGAGCAGGGACCTCAGCCCACACTTCCTACCATCAGCCCAGGCCCCTCCTCTACCTTAAACACATCATGGTGGGGGTGGGGGAGCAATCTCCTCCACACTTGTGACAGAGATCTGGTGACCTGAGGGTTGCTGGACCCTCATCTGAGGAAGCAGAGTGGGCGTAAGTGTCAGCCTGGTGGGTATTAGGTCACAGAGCCAGAGGTCAGCCCATGAGGCATGCACAGAAGGAGCATGGCAAGGCTGTGCTGATGGGCTGGCTCCCCCATCAACCAGTGGAGCAGCTCCTACCTGGGCCCTGGACCCAGGCTCAGCCCCAGACGATGATGACCACAACAAACCACAAACGCTGACACAGAAATTACAAAGTACCAGGCTCTGTTCTCAGTATTTTAAATTATTAACTTCTTTAACCCTCAACAATCCTATGAGGTAAGGTACCGACACGATTCCCATTTTACAGGATAATGAGACACAGAAAGGTCAAATAATTTATCCATAGTTGCAGAGTAAGGGCCGGAATTCGAACCCAAGCAATCCGATGTCAAAATCCACGTGTTTAGCCACTCCACTCCATTGCCTTGAGCATCTGCCTGGCTGTGCTTCTGACCACGAGTCCAGAGGCTCCACGTGCCTCAGCTGGGACACCCAGACTGACCCTTGCCTTCTGGCCACAGTATCACCACTGCTTATTGGCTCCATCATGGAGAAGGAAACTCAACTACACAGTTTTGTGGATATACGTGTTGTGGGGGAGCCAGGACCACATCGGGAAAGCCAAATTGGCCTCCCGAAAGACAAAGGTGTTATCCTGATAAGAGGCTGCCCAGTGCAGGGGAGTGCATGGGGCAAGCCTCAGGAGGTCCACGTTCCCCCTGGGTGCCTGAGACAGATAAGAAGGCCCTGAGAAGGGAAGGGACGTGCCCAAGGACACTCGGCTGATCTGAGGCAAGGCTGTGACTGGCATCCGGCTCTCCCACCTCCCGGAATTGGGTTCTTTCTTCCACGGGGGCTGCTCTGTTGGTCATGTCTGAACCCCAACGGTTTCCGCCACTGTTCCACATGCTGTGAAACCTTGATTCCTAATGCAGAAACGCAGTGCCTCACCAAGGCACTCAACTCAAGACGCCAGATAAAAAAGCAATAAAGTCAGCCTAGGGAAAGGGAGAGGAAGGGATCGATAAAGCAGCGGCAGAGAGTAAGGAATTAGGAAACAGAAAAGCAGATGCGACAATAAACACAACCAAGAATTGTTATTTGAAAACACCAATAAGGTAGACGGAGCCAGAGCAAGACTGAAAAAGGAGCCACAAATCTCAAGATGAGGAACGAGGAGAAGATACAACCAGAGATAGGGGAGAGGTGAGAGTAGAAAACATAAGAAAATGCACGGACACTCTACTCTAATAAATGTGGAAATCCCAAGAAAAGGCACAATTTTCTAAGAAAATAAGAATTACCAAAATTAACTCAAGAAGAGGCAGAAAATATGAATGGCCCAAGTACTTTAGAGGAAACAGAAAAAGTTGTTTTTTAAAATAAGGTGTTTTGCCCATTGAGCTCCTTGGGCAAGTTCTTTGCTTGTTTTGGTTTTTGGCAAGTTCTTTCAAACCTTCAAGGACACCTTATTAAGCTTTCCCACGACATACAAAACTAAGAAATCTTCCCAATTCATTTTGCCAAGCTAGCATGATACTGATATAAAAACTCAACAAAGGTACACAAAAATGAAAATTAAAGGCTAGTCTCACAACTTATTAATATATGTATAAAAAATCTACTGTCTGACTGATCAAGTAATATTAGAAAGAATGGCACGCCATGAGCAAACAAGGTTAATCCCAGGCCCGCGAGGACGACTCAATGTAAAGCACTGGCTAGGAGATCATATTAACGCAACAAGGAAGAAAACCACGGGATTTTATCAAAGCTGTGGAAAAGGTATCGGCTAAAATTCAATACCAATTCCTTACAATACCTCTTAGTAAATAAGAACTGAAGCATACTTCTTTGATCTGACATTGATCTTAAATCTAGTCAACATCACTCCTAATTGGGGAAATACTTGGAGCATTCTTATTAAAGTCAGGAACATGTGAAGGAACCCTATTATCACTGGAAATTGTTCTGAAAGTTTTACCCAGTCCAAGAAAGAGACATAAGAGGGATAAACATTGGGGGAAACACCAAAATCATCATTAGCTGGGTTGTCTTGAGCCCAGAAAATCACAAGAAAATCAGCTCGTCTACTAGAACCAATGGAAAAGTTTGGTGAGACAGCCAGGTAAGGGACCTCTAGAATGAATACCTACCTTTCTAGATTCAGTAGCTCCCAGCTGCCTATCCAGTTAAGTTCAGAGCTTTTGGTTTGGCCTCCAAAGCCCCCCTCAACCTGCGCCTCCAGCTGCCACCTTCCAGCCTCATCAACTCTGGCTTCCAAGGCCATTCCCCAATCCTCCCAGAACCTTCCCAACCCCATGCCTTGGCCCACGCTGTCCCCTTCTAGCTGCCCTTCTCCCATTCCTATCAATTAAAAATTCCCTCCAATCTCCAAATGCCACCCTCCAGAGCCACTTCTCTGGAAAGCCTTTCCTAGGCCTTCAAGTCCCTGTGGGTCCCCTCTTCTGAAGATGTCCCTGCTCCCCACCCCATCCCAGGGCAAAGAGTGCATTGTGCCAGCGGAGCAGACGACCTGGAGGTGATGTCGTTAGTAATGATAAGACAGCCTTTTACATCGTTAACTCATTTATCATCCTAACAACTCCATGAGGTCCCAACAATGATCATGCCACTTTATACGAGAGGGAACTGAGCAATGAAGAGGTTAAGGTCACACGCCTAGTAGGAAATGGAGCTGAGATTTGAAACCTGGTGCTGGGCTCCAGCCGGGGCTTCCTTGGTGGGGGTAGGGGGTGGGCGTGTGGGTGGGA